CCTGTTTTCTCAGACATACAGCAAACACACTTATTGTCGCTTGCATTATTGGAAACGCAGCACACTGGACAGTCCCAAGATCCCAAAGGTCTTTTGAACTTATCGCCAAATCCTAAGGTACCAGTGGTCACAGTACAGGTGGAAGATGAGGCAGTCACAGTTACAGCACTCTCTGAAGTCACTGGCAACGTGAGGACCCGCTTAACACCAGTGCCAGGTTTTGGTGTTTCACAGGCTACACATTTGACTGCTTCAGGTTTATTCTGCACTAAACAGGTATCACAATCCCAAATTCCTGCTGCTGGTTTAAATTTGTCTCCAAAGCCTGTCCCTGATGCAGTAAGACTTGGTTTGCCACTTTTAGTTGGCGTTCCGGTCTGCTTTGCAGTCTCTTTGGATGGTAATTTAGTGGCTTGACAGGCTATGCACTTATTGTCAGTCATTTTGTTCTGGAGTAGACAAGTGTCACACTGCCATGATGTTCCAACCTTCAAATTTTCCACAAGCTCAGTTCCACTAGAAGAAAAGCTACTTATTGCTGGTCTTGTATAAACTACAGGGCTTGCTGTTGTAGGCTGAGCAGCAAGAGAATCTACCTTCGGTGACATGAAACCTACAACAGCAAAAGGAGTGTAAAAAAACAAAGTATGAATTAACAAAAGTCCTGATACTGTAAGAACACACATTTACTTTAAGAAAGCACTGACTGGTAGACGCATTCATTACATAAGTGTTCCAGTTAAAATTCAATTTAAAAAAGTTTTCTTTTATTATAGTCTATTATCTTCTTAGACATTTCTATTAATATGCATCAACATATTTCCCCCCTTTGCCCCCGAGTTAATTTTTTAAAGTATACTTACAACGTGAAATATTCTAAGACAATGTTGGGAGAAAAAGGGGAGGAAATTTTGTTTAGCATTTAGTAACTCTGTAGGCTTATATTTGACAGCTTGTTCTCATGTTCTGTAAGGGAAGAACTAAACTGCAATCATAAAAAGGCGGGACCAAATATACAAAAACCTAATCCTTCTTTTATCTTGTTAAATAAGTCATCCATACTTATTAAAAACAAAGACCCATCCATACACTTTTCACTTACTGACAAAGTTTCCAACATTGGGCTGTTATAGGACACTGGTGTTACTGAGAACCAGGGGCCATACCCTCTCTTCCTCAACAACGTCATCCTCCCCCAACTTGATTACCACGGTACCTGCTTTCTCATCCTGATTCCCTATGCCTGCCTGGAACTTTGAGTTGTTGCATTATTGCCTTACACCCTCTGTGAACAGACCACAATGTCATAAATGTCGTGGATGGGTGACTACCAATGTTTGAGTTGTTCGGGGCAGTCAGTGAACAGAGCCTCAAGCCCAGTCATGGCCCCCTATGAGACCTGAAACATCAAGTGCCCTAAGCATTGTTCAAATTTATAACTGTGAATCATCAGTTAATAATAGTCAATAAATGAGTAGGTGTGTAACCACATACACATATACCTAAATTTTAAATGATGAGATTTAATGAAATCTTACATTCACAGTTTAAAGTTAGTCTGAACATCTTTGATTTCAAATAAAAACCATTTATTTTCAAGAACTTTGATTTAATCCCCTTCAAATGATCTATTTAAAAATGTTTCAACTACACAGTGTCCCCAAAAGTACGTAGATATTACAATTCAGGACTGTAGATGGCTTTGTCTCTCTCTTACATACACGCGCACATACACTCAATAAAATTGAGAAATTATTTGAGAACAAGACAATTTGATGCTTTAAGCACATCATCAGATATACCCTGATATTGTCAGATTTTTAAAAAGAGTTGTATCCCATATTGGTCCATCTATATATTGCTATAATTTAGTAAGAAACTCATTATAACAAGTTTTTATTATCGTAAGAGCATTTAACTTACCAGGGTTTTTCAAAACATCTAGGACACTTCCTTCTTTCAGGACTTTGGCAGGTTTAAAGGGACCCTCACAATCTTCATCTCGTTTTGTCACACAGCTAGTACTGTTCAGTGAAGCAGTATCTTGTGCTACAATTTTTTTCAAAAGTATAAAAGATATATGTCAATAAAAAGCACTGAACTATTAAACTTTAAGAAGACAGCAAAGATCTTTCCATCCCTCAGTCAGATGGGGCCCAGCAACACTTCTGGAAGAACCATCATGATGGCCACCCAAGAACTCCAAGCCCAGTTCAAACTCGTGTTGGTGGGTGATGGTGGTACTAGAAAAATGACGTTCGTGAAATGTCATGTGACTGGTGAATTTGAGAAGTATGTGGAGGTGTGGAGATCCATTCCTCCATGTTACACATGAAGAGAGGACCAATTAAATTTAATGTGTGGGATACAGCTGGCCAGGAAAAATTTGGGGGGCTGAAGGATGGCTATAATGTACCATTATAATGTTGGATGTAACATCAAAGAGTTATCTACAAGAACGTGCCTAACTGGCATAGAGATCTGGTTCAAGTATATGAAAACATCCTCATTGTGTTGTGCGGCAGCAAAGTAGACATTAAGGACAGGAAAGTTAAGGCAAAAATCCATCGCTTTCTACCGAAATCTGAATCTTCAGTACTATGATATTTCTGCCCAAAATAACAACTTTGAAAAGCCTTTCCTTTGGCTTGCTAGAAAACTAACTGGAGACTCTAACTTGGAGTTTGTTGCCATGCCTGCTCTTGCCCCACCAGAAGTTGTCATGGACCCAGCTGTGGCAGCACAGTATGAGCATGATTTAGAGGTTGCACAGGCAACTGCTCTCCCGAATAAGAGGATGATGATCTGTGAGAGAACGAAGCTAGAGCCCAGCACCAGAAATCTAGTTTTATAGGCAAGTGTCCTGTGATATCAGTGGTGCCACGTGTTTGCCACTTTATTATCTAGCTAAGTAGAACATGTGCTAATCTTTGGGCTGCTAAAGGAGAGATAAATGGGTTTCGGAGCGAGTATGGCAGTTAAAACCCTTCATTTTTTGGACCTGAACATTTAGCTGTTTTAGAAGGCAGTTCCATACTTGAGTTTCAAATACAAGACTGCTACAGTCAAATCACAATTAAAAAAAAACAAACATCAAAGACAATACCAAAGGGGAAATACTGTATGATTCATCCTATATACTGACCAAAAATATTTACAAGAAGATGACTTGGTAGCAGAGCGGTAGCAGAAAATAGGGAATTACTGCTTAAGGAATATAGTGTTTCTGCTTAGTGGGACTAAAATAATTTGAAATGGATAATTCTAACAGTTGTGCAATATGGTGAAAGTAATGTCATCAAAATGGTAAAAAATATAAAAATGTTACGTATATGCTTTATTACTATAAAAATAAACAAAAATCCTCCCATATCCAAGCTTTTTGACATCAATTTCTAAAGCTTCCTTAAAATATTTAAAGATAATAAATGACTTAAGAGTTTATTGCTATTACTATAATCCTACAGTAAACAACCACCACCACCAGGAGAAAAAGAATGACTTAAGTTTTAATTGTCAATCAATTAGAATCAGTAAAATTGAATTTTTGGACAAAGGTAAACTGCACAAAGAATTTATTTGATTACAGAGCAATCTGCAGTATTGATTTTTTTAAAAAAAAAATCTTAAAAAGAAATATTCAAATGGGCCCTTTATTCCATTTCCAGGAATTCATCCTGAGATTAAGCAAGAATATTTTAAGTCTAGATAATAAAATATTTAAGAATTAAGAGGTGGGTTCATATATGACAACAACACACAATGAAATGTTAATTTTTTTTTAAAAAGAGCAACAGTCTCTAAACTACTATAATACGTAAAAAGAAGAGTTCTTAAATATGACAGAAAAAAATCAGGAAATTTAACTTTCTTATAAAAAGTTTATTCCATTTAAGAATATTTTAATTTTTTTAAATAATTTTTATTATTTTTGTGTGTGTGTGTACCATCAAATCAGATCTGACTGGTACAGGAGGAGACTGCCCCTCCTTCCCCGGCAGAGCATCTGGTGGGTTCGAACCGTGCGCCTCTGGGATTGTAGTTGCAGTTCCTTGCCACTAGGCCACCAGAGCTCTCCAAAGAATATTATTTTAAAAAGTAATAAGACAATGTACAGAATGGCTTGTATGGACTTGTCATTTTCTTCAGCATCAATCTGGATATGCACAGGCGTCACTGTACCAAAAAGAATTAAATGGCACTGAAAATTTTCAGTAAATGCCATATGAGCAGGAGCCAATAATAATGAAAGAGGAAGCTGAAGCTTCAATGAAGACACTGTCAAAAAATAAGACACCAGGAACTGATGTGATACCAATTGAAATGTTTCAACAAATGCAGCCCTGGAAGTGCTCGCCAGTCTATGCTAGGAAATTTGGAGGACAGCTGTCTGGCCAAATGACTGGAAGAGGTCCATATTTGTTTGTCTCCATTCCCACAAAAAGGGATCTAAAAGAATGTGGAAACTAACAATTAACACTAATAACACATGGAAGCAAAATATTTCTAAAGATTATCCAAAAACATATAGAACAGTGCATAGGTAATAAGGAAATGCCAGAAGTTCAAGCACGGTTTAGAAGTTGCTGTGGTCCTTCTAAAGTGGTATCATTGCTGATGCCAGAAAGATCTTGGATAAAAGAAAAGAATATCAGGAGAATGTCTATTTTGTTTTATTGACTATGCAAAGGCATTTGACTGTGTAGAACATAACAAGTTATTGCTAAACGGGAATCCCAGAAGACTTATTTGTGCTCATGTGAAACCTATAACTAGACCAAGAGTCTGTTGTGTGAACAGAGCAGGGAAACACCACATAATTTAAAATTAAAACAGGCATTTATCAGGACTGTATTCTCTCCACACTTATTCAATCTATATGCTGAGCAAATTATTTGAGAAGCTGGACTCTATGAAGAAGAATGTGACATCAAGACTCATCAATAACCTATGTTATGCAGATGACACATCTTGCTTGCTGAAAGCCAGGACTTCAAGCACTTGCTGCAGAAGATCAAAGAATACAGCCTACAACATGGACTGCATCTCAATGTAAAGAAAACAAAAACTCTTACAAGTGGACAAACAGGCAATATCATGATAGATGAAGATAGAGGCAAGGATGACAAAGCTTTGTCTCAGATACTTTTGGACATGCTGTTAGGAAGAGTACTGAATATCCCATGAACTGTCAAAAGAACAAACAAAAATGTCTTCGAGAACTTGGGGCCAGAATGCTCGTTGGAGGTAAAGACAATAAAGTTTTGTCTTACATATTTAAGCCATGTCGCTTGGAGAGGGGCATCATACTTAGAAAAGTGGAGGGTGGGGCAAAGACAGAAAGACCCTCAACCAGGTGGATTTTCACAGTGACTGCAGCAAAGGATTCATGTGTGTCAGGAAGTGCGAGTATGACACAGGATAGGACAGGGATCAGACCTGATGTTCACAGGGTCATACTCAACTCAATGGTAACTAACAACAACTGACAAGTTTATTCCAGTCAATCCTTCTTGCTGACTGCTGATCTTGAGTTTATCCACAGCCTCGTTCCACAGATACAGTCAATCAGATTCTTGTGCATTCTAGTATGTGAAGTTCATAGGGATATATAAGCTGTCACTTCTTACTTTTTAAAATTGATATCTGAAATAACTGACTGTAAAGGTTTTCATGTGATTTCCAGCCTCAATTCTGTCTCCAAAGCCGTATTTTAGACCTATTGAGTTGTCTGTTTCCAACTTCTACATTCATTATCACCTCCAGTTATTACTGACACATTTTTACTTCATGTAGGACAACAAAAATTCCTGTAAGTAGAAACCCTCAATTTCTTCATCTTTGGCTTTAGTGGTGAGTATGTACCTTTAAGGAGTAGTGGTACTGACAAGTATTCCTTGTACGTATATAGTTAATAACTTGCCATCAACAGCATTGTACTTCAAGAAAGAGCCTGAAATGTTCTTTATGATAATGAATGTGACACAATTCTTTAACATGTTATTTCCAGTATTGTTGTTATTGTTAAGTGCCACTGAGTTGTAGATAACTCATAGTGGCCCTATGAATGAAAGACTTGAACACCTGTTAACTTTCATCATTTCTCCATATAGTTTCTGGAGGCAAAATTTCCAGTATAGTGATCATATAATTGTTCAATTAAAAAAACCATCAATCCCAGGCATTTTCATTCACTAACACCTAGGATTATCAATACTATGCATTCCATTTCATTTCTGGCAACTTCAATTTCCTTGAATCACACACAGTGTTCCAATCTGATGATGTGACAAGATTCAAAAGAAGAAGAAAGAGTTGTAAAACAACTATTAATAACTGGAACACAGAATTAAAGACCGCTTGTCATGTCAGTTTTATGGTACTATGGTGGCTTGGATATTACCATGATGCTGGAAGTTATGCCACCAGTATTTAAAATACAAAGACGTGTTTCAGAAGTAATATGACCAGTGACTCATTACTGAAATAACAGGATTGATAAAACTTCATATATATCATAATACTGTAGATTATGGGGTTAGAAGATGAGCCTCTCAACTTGGAATGAATTAAAAATGTGACTGGTAAAGAGGTAGAATGTACTACACCTTAATGATACACATGGAATAAAACTTTCACCCAAAGTCCTTCATTTCCTGATGTGGCATGACTCAAAGTTTAAAAAAATAACTGAAAACATCTATTAGTAATTAGAATACAGAAATAAAATGTGGGTGTGTAAGTTTATGTTTTTGTACAATTCTATTATATTTGTAGGACAATATAGCTGAACAAGGGAAAAAGTGCTCCAGATATCCACTAACATAACCACCAACCTTTCTCCAAAAATAGGAATTGGATTTTTTGATCTGAAAAAATTTGTATTCTTGAATTGGGTAACAAGTAATACACTAAAAATAATATATATACAACTATTGCTATGTAAATATTAGATTTCCTGCCTCCTCAACTTACCTGAATTATTCGTAATTGGTTCTGAAGTACTCCTGGAGCCAGAAAGTTCTGCTGTTTTTGCAACAGGCACACTAAATGTAAATCCAATCTGTGAAGAAAGAAAAGGTACCTCTAAGCATTCATTGTATTTTAAATAAAAGTCAAAATGTCAAATATACTATCTCTCATGATGAAGAAATATGATACACAAAAACAGCACAGAACCTCCCCACATACAGAGTGAGAATTAATTGTAATGTGATTCTCGACTAAATCTTAGAATTCAACTAAATGCTGCTGACCTCCAGTAGAGGCTGGAAATCAAACAGGAGGAGACTGTCCATCTTTCTCCCACAGAGCTGCTTGTAGAACCAAATGGCTAGATGGGCAGCCTCAGAATTAGCAGTTTAACTCTCTACAGACTACACGCCAGAGTTCCCGGTATCTAAGAGGAACTAACAACTAAGAAAACAGCTATAAATGTACAGTCTGGAAAAAAGAGAAACTACGGACTGCTATTAGTACATCAATGTTAAATTTCTTATGCATGGTAGCCATATTGAGGGTACGCACATACAAACACAAAAAAGTCCCCTTTCTATAGAGATCCAGGGACAAGTATTTACAGTATTAAATGTATCATGGTATTTGCTTTTCATTTTTTAAAAAGATAATGTAAACATTTACTTAAGAACACATGGATATGTATGTCCTGAAGAACATTTAAGTATTTATACATTCTAGAGTTCTAGATGACCTAAGAAGAAAAATAATGGTGTTTCTTACCATTAATGACATCTCAGATTTGATAAAATTACACTGTAACTTTGAAATCCTGTCACTGAACATTTAGTATTCCTTGACTGCTACTTACAGATGATGGAGGTAGTACATCTGCCTCAGTAGATTTTACAATTGGAGATGAAAATCTAAACAAAGGACTGCCAGTACTGCTCGGAGAGGTCATTTGTACCTGGTTTTCCAAATTATTAAGAAATGACACAGAAAGAGCTATTTAGAAAAAGAAAATTGACAATAAAAGCGACCTTAAGCAAATTAATTATTCCAAAGAAACCAAAATCATTTTTCCCTTTTAGGTTTAAAAATTACGTTCTAAAATATACTGAATAGAAACTTTTATCAAATATGGCTTCTTCTTAGGAGAGAATATATTCTTTTAGAAGTAGTCATTTGTCTAAAAGGAAAAAATATTTATAAGAATACTCAGAAAAAAGTAAAACCATGGAAGAAAACATTAATTTCAAAAGTCAGTTAAAGATAGAACACTCTCAGTATCATGTATCCTTGACAAAGCTTTATGTTCAAAGAGAAAACCAAATATTTTTAATTTCTTATACTGAGCTATTGATTTTTGTTATAAAAATGATCACTCTGCTTTTAAAAAATATGTGTGTATATATGTGTGTGTGTATATATATATATACACATATATATGGAAAAAGAAATAAGAAAGAACAAACCTTATTAGTTAATGATTCTGAAGGGCTGATGGGTGACGAAGAGGAAATTGTGGTTGTCGAGGGACTAAAAGTGAAGATAGGAAGTGAAGAACTGGATATCGGTAGGGAGATTTTCGGTAACACTGGTACTTCCATTTCCTAAAATACAAGTTATTTTAAAAATATATTTTTTGTTTTTAACATTATTTTCTTTCTAGTAACTGTCTGGTAGGGTGAACATATTCACAAATAGACGTACAACAGAAGAAGGAAGCACGTACAGTCCTAATGATGTTGACTAAATGTCAAGTAAAAAACCAGAATTTAAAAAAAAAAAAACCCAGAATTTAAATCTAATCTATCATCAAGTCACATAAATATGAGAACCAAAAGAAAAGGGAGAAAAATTCTTACTCTATAATCAGTTTTGGTAATAACAGAAAATGTAAAATTCTAAATGATATGTGGCATGGAAATAAATTTAGTGAGCTTTAGTACTGAGCAAAGCTAGTGAATACCACTGATTTTTCAAAATACCATTTTAACAAATTTTGTCCTTCACGTTTCCAATGATCCAGATTAATAGCAAACAAAGAGTTTCTCTTCAGCAGTAGCAGAATAGCTTGTATCTGATCGATGCTCTGGCAGAAAATTATAACCTAGATGGGGGGCGGGGGGTTCCCCTTCAAAACACATAAAATATCTAAAAACAATGAAGATCAACCAAATGCAAACAAGAACATGGGAGGACACTTGGAAGAAGGAAATGGGTGGGAGTGAGTTTCTTGGTTTTTTTGGGGTGGTGGGTTGTGGGGTTTTGTCGTCTTCCAAGAAACATCTTGATCTTTTTATTTTATTGTAATTTGAATGAAAGTTTACAAAGCAAATTGGTTTTCATTCAACTATTCATACATTTGGTTTTACAACATTACAATACCCATAACTGACTCACACTTTTTTCTCATTTCATCCCTATAATTCTAATTTCCATCAATCTTCATATATATACTATGCCTACCTGATTGTAAGGCTTTACTCCTGGGGAAATTCTGCTCATCTGGTCTTTAATAGTTGGTTATTTTAAGTAGTGATTCCCTCTCTGATGTTACTGGTCTCTTTGCAGTCCTGTCTACTGTTTGGCCATGAAGCTAAGTTTTGTTATAGATTCAAATATTCTTGGTCTTTAGAATTTTAAAGAGATCCTTAACAGTGCCTACTGTGTCCTTTCATTTTTGGCTGTTGTTTCCATAAATGTTGACTGTGTTTGCATATCCAAGTAAAATTAAGTCATTAGCAATTTCAGTATTTTTTCCATCATGATGTTGCATTTGGTCTAGTTGTGAGGATGAGTTTCTTATTTTCTGTCTGAGTTTGTGTTACTTGATTTCTCTGGGCACAGAGGATTTCAGAAAGAATCTATAAAACTATTAAATGAGCAATTACAGGGTAAGGTGGCAAAAGCTGCTACAAAAAGGCAGAGGTAATCCTAAATGCTGCACATAAATTGCTCAAATCTCTGTTTTACCTTGCTTCACTTGTGTGAAGCAGACATCAGTTACTAAAACTTAGTTGAGAGGCTTTTCAGCTGCTGCCCACCACTAAGGACAGAATTCACAGTCTGTGTTTAGATCAGTTTAGTGTGAGCGAAAGCAAATGGAGTTATTTTAAGTGTTGCTTACTCAGAAAAACATTACACAAAAAGAAACTTTCAGCTAAAGTAACAAATAGAATCTGCCAATAACCTTCAGGCAGAAAGGTTTGCCAATAATGGATAAATATGACAATTTCAGACATAAGGCCTCTCTTCTCATTTTTAAAAAATATATATAATCACATCCGCAAAGGTGACGTACTCTGAGGCACTCTCGTATAGTCCGTAGTGTGTGGCACTGCTAACAAAAACGATGTAATGCAATTTCATAGCCTAGGATAGACATAATAGCATAAAAACAACAACAAAATACCAGGGGGAAAGTAGTAATTTAAATACATTTATGTTGTTGTTGTTTTGTGCCCATCAGGTCTCTTGCAACTGATAACTACCCTATGTACAACACCCCTAAACCCTGCTCTATCTCAGACACACCTACTCCCATTGCCCTGTGACTGACTCAATTCATGTCATCAAGGGTCTTTTTCTATTGCGCTGTCCCTCCACCCTCCCAAGCCTGATGTTCCTCTCCAAGGATTGGTCCCTTCTTGAAACATATCCAAAGTATGTCAGACAAATGTATATATTCTTTAATTTTACAGAATATCATACAATAATAAGAAAAAAAAGGTTGTTAAAAGGTAAGCACATACACTGGAAACCAATGAGGATTTCACATCATCAGTCATGACCAAACTGGAAAGAACTTTGTTTGAAGCCTTGATAATTTTCATTACAATTATTTCAGAGACTTGTTTTTTAAGGTAATCATAAAGAGTACTATGTTTGGTTTTCTGGGTTAAAAGTCTGGTAGTTTTTGGTTTCTTTTTACTATACTTGAACTAAATTTATTTCAAAATAAAAGATTTATTTAATAACAAAGAGAAAGGCAAAATATAATAAGGGTTTGATTATACATTGTAACTAATAACATTTATCAATTTAAATTGTGATAAAACAAATGTATTTAAAAACAAATAAAAGATTTTATTCTTACAAGTCATGTCTCATATATAGTGAAGAAATAAGAACTTAAAACGTCACAAGATTTGTACAAATGTCAGTACTGAAATAAATGACTGGAAGTCTTTTTCTCTCGATCATACCTGCAACTTAAAGCTGTCTCTTTAAGCTTAAACCATTTCAACATACTCTAGTTGTTAAGTTTTGGTTTTAGTAATACTGAAGAAAGAATATAATCCAATGAACAAGTAATGGTATACTTTTACCCCATCAAATGCACAGAATTTTCAATTAATAATTTTACTTATTATACATACACCAAACTTACCAATTTCTACCATAGTATTTTTCTAAGGAAAATGTATACATGTTAATTGAAAAACACATTTAGAGGGGACAACTTCAACAGCAAATTCTTCTTACGCTGGGCTTTGCAGGCTTTACCATTATTATAACAAAGATTTTAATAAGCTTCAACAATGTTAAGCTATGTAAACCTACCTCATCCTCTAAAGGTCTAGAGGGAACACAGCGTGTTCTCTCTCGTCTCATCTTGCCACCTCCAGAAGATAATCCATTGGCTGCAGGCATACTGAAATTTGGGTATGAAAAATCACTAGAAAAAAAATTGGTAACAATTGCTGTATTATCATGGCTTGTAACTCGTTGCATAATTAAGTTTTTTAATGAACAACTGCTGGTAAGTACAGCTTAATGTGATTTTAATAACAGAATAATTTCTGATGTGTAAAGAGTTTCTTTTGTATTCCAGTTTTCAAATAGGTATATGTGGACATTAAATCTGGATTTCACAAATTAAATACGAAAACATTAGCTGTATGTGAAATGGCATTACCTTTCTTCTTCTCTATTTTGTCCTGATGTCGAATTTTTTTCACATCCAATCTAGAAAATAAGCATATACTTCATGAACATGTACTCAAATTTTTGTAACAGTACACCTATCTATGAATTTTATCCTCTGGAATCAAGAGTTTATGATTTTTCTGTCAATGAATCCTAAAGTGTAAAATTTATAACCCAATTTCTGAAAATAACCAATTGTATAATCACAATATGATTTTATGCATAAAATCTCACTGAACACACCTGCCTATTTAACAAAATAGTATAACACAGATAAAATAAAAATACTTAACTACTACAAGATTTTGACTTGTTTATCTTAATGGCCTATAAAATGTGCAAGTAAATTTGCAAGCATAGGCCTTTTTCATAGGCCTTTTTAAATTATTCTCTCCAACATAAAACATTCCCTTCATTAGAAAGGCTAATAAAATCATCTAAATGAGACCAAATAATCAAAAATTAAAGATGAGACAGTAAACTGGCAGGATCACCTGAGTACAAGAAATGGTGTAACTAAGATGAAACAAACGAGAATGTTAACACGTTGTGAAACCCTAAAATAGTATCAGAAGGGTTTAATTGTCCTCATCCTTAAATAGGAACTTAATTTGCTATATAACCTTTTACTCTAAACATGGTAAGATTAATTTAAGGCAGAAGGAAAGCAACTAGGACTTCTTAGAGAAATGTTTGGAGCAGGAAATGTGCAGAATGAACCTGGATTTAACTTATAAAAATGAAAAGTGACATGGTGTTCAGAACATAATAGGGATAAAGTAAATGGACACAAAAGCCAATGAGGAGGTTAAATCTAGGACACTTTGAACATCAAAAGAAAGTGTTAATTCTTGAATTTAAGAATTAGAGCTGAAATTAAAGCATAACACAAAGACAGAGATAAACCAACTGTTGTGCAGCCGATTCCATCTCCTCACAACTACTCTTAGGATTTCAGAAGAGTGTGAATCTTTAGTGGTAGGATGCTGCCCATCATCTTCCTATGAATCTGCTGGTTTATTTAAACTGATCTCTGGGTTACGTGCTGAGAATTTTGTTACTGTATCCCCAAAAAGATAAGGATAGAGACAAGTATTTAATTAAAAAAAGGAAAGCTCTTTTACTTGAATGTCAACTAATAAATTTAGAAAGAATGATCAAGGTAGAAAACCATTATGTGGCAATCTTAAAAAACAAACAAAAAGAAACTGATTTAATCAAGAATACCAAAGGCAGTGGTTAGGAGGAATAGTCTTATTTTCATGAAGCTATTTATTAGTTACAAAAGTTACTCTGGAGAAATTATATAAACTCCATCTTAATTTATGATCCCAATGCTATTGTGAAAGTAACTGACAACAGTGGCTCCCAATATAATGAGAAGAGTTGTGGAACCTAATAATGAAGACACATCACAAAGCTCCAAATCAAAGTGTACAATAACTGATTTTGACTCTTAAGATATCAACAAAGTTAAATATAAAGAAAAATAGTCATTATTCTAGATTAAAGGAGATGAAAGAGACATGACAACTAAATGCAAGACACAAGTTTGGATTTTTTAACAAACAGCAACTCAACGCCATCAAGTCAGGACTCATACCTGACTCCTCACTATGCCCATCTTTCTCATGCAGAGTTGCTAGTGGCTTTCAATCATTAACCTTTGGGTTGGTAGCTCAGCTCCCTGTATCTCACCCGATCAAACAAATGGCAGCATCCAAATAAAGTCTATAATAATAATATTGCACCAATGCTAAGTTCTTCTGGTTCTGACACCTGTTTTACCGTTATTATGTAAAGGAATTCCTTATCTGCAGGAATAAAATAACACTGGTTGTTGTTCTTATGTACCATCAAGGCAGAACTGACTCATAGCTGACCCTTCAGCAGGTTTTCAGAGGCAATACATAGCACATAAGGAGACTGCCCATAATTCTCCCATGAAGCAGCTGACAGAGGTGCAGCTGGTAAATGTAAACCGTTGGGAATGTATTGAAATTTCTTACCACTAGGCTACCAGAATGCTGCTACATACTCCTCCCACCTCCGGCCCTCAAAAAAGGAAAAGGTTTAAAAAAAAAAGTGAGAAACTGAAGTCTATAAATCTAAAATTTGTTCTACTATTCAGAACAAGTATCTTGGAGAAGGTGCAGCCAGAGTGCTCCTTGAAGGCAAAGATAATAAAGCTTCGCCTCACATACTTCAGGAATGTTTCTAGAAACAGCTATTCCTTGGGGAGGGTTATGGTTCTCCGTAAGCGAAGGAGATCCTCAACTAAGTGGACTGACAGTGACTGCTGCAACAGGGTCTATTGTGTTAGGTAGCATGAGGATGGCACAGGATAGAATATACAGAGGATTGCTATGGGTTGTACTAAACTTGAAGGCACCTAGCAACAAATCTAAAATGGTATTAATAGGGAGCTCAGGTGGCCTAGTGGCAAGAAGCTGTACTGCAATTCCAAAGGTGTGTGGTCTGAATCTACCAGAAGCTCTGCTGGAGAAGGAGGGGCAAACTCTTCCTGTGTCAATAGGGTCCTGTGCCAGGTAGATCTGACTCAACTGTATACAACAAGGAAAAAACCCAAAACAACAACAAAACCACACATGGCTACTAAAATTATATTAACGGTTTTTTTTAAAGTTCAATTAAAACATATAAATGAAATGAGAGAAAGCAAGCATGACGAAAACATTAGCAACGGTTAAATCAAGATTTAAAAGTACTCCAAAATCAGTATTAGTTTTCCAACTTTACTCTGAAAATTTTCAAGAAACTGAGTTGCTATGATAATCAAATGATTAAACATAAATGGGGTAGTAAAATATGTTATATAAGCACAATACTTCTGATTTTCATTAAATACTACCACACACAGAAAGACAAACTCAGGATTCAAAATATTTTCTAAGACAAACAGCTTGATGGTCTCAACAAAACCTGTACCACTCTTATGTATACACCAACCAAGAGAAATGCAAGCATACCAAAGCAGCACTACAATCGTCACTGAAAAGCAGCAACAAAAATATCCACACTAGATGAATGGATGGATAAACAAAATGTCTGTTCAAGCAATGTGTTATTATTCATCAATAAAAAGGCATGAAATATTGATACACACTAAAACACGAGTAAATCATAAAAATATTATGCTGGTATAAAAATCCTCATAGACTCTAGACTTTCTAAAGTCACAGAAGAGGATGAACCCCAGAAAACAGTGCCCTGAAATAATCTTTTTTTTTATTTTTTTATTATTTTTGTGTGCGTGTACCGTCAAATCAGATCTGACTGGTACTGGAGGAGATTGTCCCTCCTTCCCCGGCAGAGCATCTGGTGGATTCGAACCGTGTGCCTCTGGGATTGTAGTTGCAGCTCCTTGCCACTAGGCCACCAGAGCTCCCCTTGAAATAATCTTAAAATGTAAACTCAAAAAGACAACAAAAGGAGAAGAAAAAATATAAGCCCTTCATAGTCTCTGAAATCTTAAAACCAACAACGTAACAACACATAAGCCTTGAACATTATGCTTTTTAGGAATTACGTTAGATATAATTAACAACAGTAACTCCAAACACAGAACTTTAGCAGTAAGGAAACAGTAAGTTTATGTTAAAACGTGAGAGACCATTCTGAAAAGGAGAATGGCCATCATTTCATAACTCAAAAAGAGGTCCTAATCAATGTCACTGAACTATATATACTCTGAAACAGATGCATTAGTCCATTTTGCTGGGTACAGTCTCAACAACAAAAACCATTTTGCAAGTACAAAGAAGGCAGTCACAAAAGGTTTTCTGTGATTGATTCCATTTATATAAAATGCCTAAAACAGACAAATCAAATAGAAAGATTAGTGGTTGCCAGGAGCTTGAGATGGAGGGAAGGAGTAGAGAAAGGAGTGACGGCGAAAGGATAAAGGATTGGGGAATTGGAAAATGGGTGATGAAAATGTCTTAAAATTGATACTGGTGATGGTTGTACAACTTTGTGTTTGAATGATAGCACTCTGTAAATCATCTCATTAAAAAAATAAACACACCAGAGTGACAGTAATGAGACTGAGAAACAGAGAGGCAAAATAAAAAATAATGTGTGAGCATTTCTTGAATGGATCCTGATTTTTAAAAAACCCAAAACAACTGAATATGGATTTCTTGTTAATTACCCTGTAGTACACTTTGACTATGGCAAACCCATGTTGCCACAGACTTGCTGGAAAGTTTTCAAGGCTGTAACCCTTTGGAAGCAGCTCATCGAGCCTGTCTTCTAAGATACCTACCTCCGAGTAAGTTTCAACTACCAAACTTTCCAGTTAGCAGTCTCCTGCTTACCAAGTTGTGTATCTAAGAATTCCAAAAATCTGGATTAGATCCATAGCTAAATCCATTAATGTTAAACTAATTTCAACTTAAAGAGTGACTCTACAAGACAGATTGGGGTTTACAAGGCTGTAAATCGTTAGAGAATCAGACTGCTCTGTCATTCTCTGTTACAACCACTTGTCCCCACCAAGTTAAGCAGATGAGCACTTAACCCCTATGTCACAAGGGCTCTTTATACAGATTACATCTAGTGTTAAATTACAGTAGATGAGGCATGACAGGAAGATATATTCAGGAGATATCTGAATCTGGGACAAAATTTAAGAAATTTATTTTCAGATCATTCAACAACAATCAAAAGACAGAAAATTTTTTGGAAAATAAGTATGTAACTAATGTTTACTCAAACACATTACTCAAAGCAGAATCAAGTCATAGCTGAATCTCTAGCAGGTTGTCAGAGGTTGTAAATCACATGGGAGGAGACTGTCCATTTTCCCCCAGAGCAGCTGGTGGATTCAAACTGCCTACCTTTTGGTTGACAGTACAACTCCTTAACTACAAGGCAAGATTTCCCTCAAGTTTACTAGTTTGATCAACGTAACTATTTTGAAGGGCTATTTCCTCATAATCATAGCTACCAATTCACCAACTTTATGCATTATCCTGTTGCTTAAAGGCAATGGAGAGGTATATTATTTTTAGGCATTCTAATCAATATTCAAAGACTAGTGAAAATAAAACACAAACTCACATTGTGCTTTTTATCTATTTTCTGATTAGTCTTCTTCAATTCACCAGATGGAGTCAAAGAAGGTTTAAAATAAACAGCTCGATTCGGTGCTAGGGAGGCTGGTTTGGGGATCAGGAGCCTCTGAACAGGGGGATACTGAGAGTCCACCTTCCAGGTTAACAAAATTCAGAAAACAAACTTTTGTTACTCATTTATCAGTGACACATATGTAAAAATTACTTAACTCTCTATAATGCGACCTAAAAAAAGTAATGTATCCAACAAATTAAAATAAGAAAATAAACTGACAGTTAACAGAATGGTATAGTTTATTTTTTAAGTACATATATAATTCTAAAATGCTTTACAAATACTTGTATTTTTCTAGATTTAACAGCTTTTCAGCAATAGGAACATGCAAACGAGATAGAAGGAGATCAAGATGAATCCCAAAGACTGAATCTTAAATAAATAAAATTAATTTTGCCATATTTTCCTTAAATTACTATATAAATTTTCTTTGACTATAAAATATTTTAAAACTAGTTATAACAATATTTAAATTAAAAATGTTAGTAGTGAATTTTCCCTCCAAGTGATCCCACACCAACCAGCTGTTCAAAACAAAATTTAAAAACCCTTAAAATTTAAATCTAATTGGTAAAAATGGTTAAGATTTGAGATTATAAAACCAACTGACAGTATTATCTAAGTACCCAAGTGTTTTGTGAATGATCCTGTTAAGGTAAGATGACTAAAGCCAAGGGATTTCACTCTGTCCAAAGACTGTAATGTTCTGAAAGGAGTCCTTTCACTTCGAAGCCTAAGTGAGCAGCACTGGATTCCAGTGCAAAATGTGTGTAGTTACTTGATCTTCCCTAAATCTTCATTACAAATGTGACGCTACAACTCAGTGAGACAGTCTATTCTGTAGACTGTTCACATTATATCCATGAAATGTGAACTCCAATTTTTATGTATCCTTTATCCATTAACAAACTTTATTAATACAGTATTCTCCAACTGATAAAAATTAATTCCATCACAGCTGCTAATTATGACTCTTCTTTTATCTTAGCTCTAAATTTCTTAAAACTGCAAAAAAGTAAATTTTAGTTTCCTTTTCTGCACTAGAGTATCAGTAAGAATAATTTCCATTGACTAGTATCCAATTCACAATTAGTTCATAGAATAAAATTATTTTAATTATAGAGAAATGTTTTCTTAAAAAATATTTAACCTAAGAATATTGAAATAACATAAATAACAAAAAAAGGTATTTCTTTAATTCTAATTATCAAGATGGCTTTTCACGCCTTCATCAAGGTTTTTCACCGCAAATTAAACCAAGTAGAATAAAGAGCAGAGAATGAAAGAGATGTGAAATCATTACATTTTTTTTTTCTCAGATCTAAAATCATACAACAGCATTTAGGCTGACTAGTAAAAGATGTGCCAACATGAACTTCTATTACACAGATCTGACATGCATACTACAGGTTAATGAGGAAAAGTTTACAAAGATGGCTATGTTTAATAAGGAATTTAATTCACTATCCTTCTAGTAACACTTCAAAGCTTATTACATTCCTAATGATTCTAAGATTCCGAAGATGGAAATGCCACTGAACAACTACTGCATATAGAGGCTTCTGTTGCAACAAAGAGGAAAAAGTTATACTGTCCAAGTAGAAACACCTTGTTTGCTCATGTTTCCTAATAATTCCAATTTGTTTATTTGCTACTTTAAAATAAGCACAATACAAATATTGGCACTTCAAATACATTGTTGTCTTACCTTCTTTCTTCTGGCCTGAAAATTTGTATAATCTATCCCACTCCTATGAAGAGGCTGAAAAGAAAATGTACTATTAGAATTAATGAGCAAGGGGTGGGGGAGAGATCCCATTAACAACAAAAAAATATTCAGAAGAAAAAAAATTTTATATGCATATTCAAGTCAACTTACAGAATCTAGGGGCGAAGAAACTGATGGAATTCGTTTTGCATCCTGTTAATATTGAAATAACAAAATTGATATTTATTCAAAGTAATTTGTTACCCTCCAACATTCAACTGTGATCTAAAATATTTACCGCCAGAGGACTTGACATCTTCTCTAAAGACTGCAATATTCGCCGGGCTGTTGAACTAGTCACACCATAGGACTGTGCATTCAGTTGCTTAGCTTTCATCTGTCTTCTCACTGGTGCCTATAAAGTAAAACCTCTATTATTTTCTGGAGTATAAAATCTAAAGCATATAAAGATGAATACCAAGTTTACAAAATAGAACACATAAGCAAAGTTAATAATTTATCTCTGAGTGATGATTACCCTAAGATTAAGTTTAAATAATAGTTTCTCTTTACAGACTTCTTTAAAACTCTAATTTCAGGACTGAAAATTTTTTTTTTTTTTATAATCAGAAAAAGATGGTAATATGTGTCAGTTTAAAAAAAACACTGTTTATGTTGTGCTTTTGAGTTATACTCATAGCTGACCCTCCTGCAAGTTTTTAAAGGATGTAAATCCCACCAGAGGAAACTGCCCAACCTTCTGCTACCATGTAGCTGGTGGATGTGAACAAGTGTTGAAACCTGTCTACTAGATGTGACTTTGCTTGCATTTGAAATACCAATGACATGGTTTTCAGAAACACAGCAAAAAACAAACCACAGTACACAAACCAACAGAAGAGTGACAACATTTTCTCACTACTTGGCAATGCACAGTGGGGCAAATTTTTAAAAAAAGAATCCATTTCTAATTGTTCACTGTTAATATTTTTAACACAATCAATTTTATATACATTTACTCCTCTGTTAATGATCCATTTGTTATGTGACATTTTACATTTATGGCAATAAGAAGAAGAAACGTACTGTATGACTTTTTGAGCTATTTCATAAAGAACATCTAGTAGTAATTAGCACTCCAGTGTAAGGTCAGAGTAATACAAGCTTTGAAGGTTATGGTCACTTATCAACTAGGTTAGGTCATCATTCTCAGTGATTTGGGAGTGAAGTAAACATGCAGAACTCCTTCATTTTGTAATGTAATGTAGTTATGTTCCATTTTTACATAATGTTGAATTTCACATTAACCTGATTTTTGGGACCTAATTATGCTGGTAAGCGTGCAGTGGAGGTACTGATCTTACAATTCTTTGATTCTCTTTTCTTGCAGTCTTGAAATTATCAATGTGGTGTTTGGGGTTTTTTTGTTTTGTTTTGTTTTTAATTATTATCTGCAAACTGGAATATTTTTCTCTTCCCTTCCAATCTGTTTACTTTGCATTCTGAAGAGGTATGGCAAACAGACATTAACTTCCGAATCTTAGAGGACAGTTATTATCAATATTTCACCATTAAATATAATGTCAAGTATTTTTAGATGGGCTTCATTAATTTCAGGAAAAGACTGTATTTTCAAGTTTGTTGAGATTCTTTATAATAAATGGATATCTAAATTTTTGGGGGGGTATTCTCTACTTTCTTTGTTTAAAAAAATTTATTATTAATTTCAGTAAAAATTTACAGAGGCTTTGGATTTCCATTCACTCATTGTTGCACATTTCTCCCCTCCCAAGCCTCCCCCCAGAACACTACCCTCTTTGATAGGAAAAGTAAAAGAAACATTTTTCATTGTTTTACAAACTTTCCCCCAGGTCCACTCCACCATGTAGCCATTGCTCTAGACTCCTGTCATGACAGAAATACCTAATCACATATCTCTTTTTAAAACAGTTTTCTCCCTCCTCTGTTTCAGTGTAGTATACATTATTGAACCCATCTTACTCAGTCGCTCCCCAACCCCAAGGTCAGTCCTTTTACAACAGTGGCACCATGCAATATTTGCCCTTTTGTGACTGGGATATTTCACTCAGCATAATGTTTTCCAGAGTCAACCATTTTGAATAATATTGCATGAGTTCCTTGGTTTTCAATGCAGCATAGTATTCCATTGTGTGAATATACCACAGCTTCTCTAGCCATTCATTTGTTGATGGGCACTTAGGTTGTTTCCAACTCCTTACTATTGGGAACTAAGCTGCAATAAACATGGGTGTGCATATATCTGCTTGAAAGTCAGTTATGGTGTCTTCGGGGTATATTCCCAGTAGTGGAACTGCTGGGTCAAATGGTATCTCTATTTGCAACTTTTTTGAGAAAGCGCCATACAGCTTTCCACAGGGGTTGCACCACTTTACACTCCCACCAACAGTGAGTAAGGGTTCCAGTTTCTCCACAACCTCGCCAGCATTTGTTGATTGCTGTTCTGTTAAATTTTGCTATTTTGACTGGGGTGAGATGGTATCTCACAGATGTTTTAATTTGCATCTCTCCTACAGCTAGGGATTTTGAACATTTCTTCATGTGCTTGTTAGCCATCTGAATGTCGTCTTCGGTGAAGTGCCTGTTCATATCCTGTGCCCATTTTTCTATTGGATTATTTACCTTTATCTTGTTGTGGTGCTCAAGTATTTCATAAATTCTGAATGTAAGTCCCTTATCTAATATGTTATTACCAAATACTTTTTCCCAGTCGATGGCTTCCCTTTTTACCGTTGGAGAAGTTTTTGGATGTGCATAGCGATTTGAGTCTTAGAAGATCCCATTCAGCTACTTTATCTTCTCCTGTTTGTAGGTTTTTCAGGATACTTGGAAGACTGTCTATGTTGTGGATGAGGACTTCTAGTGTTGTTCCTAGCTATTCTGTAATGAAGTTTATAGTCCTTGGTTTTAGTCCTAGGTCCATGATCCACTTTGTGTGCATGTATGTATATAGGCGGTCCTTTGGTTTTCTTCATCATAACATTCATATGACAAATTACATGAATCTTCAAATTCTGAGTCACTCTTGTTCCTATGACAAACCTCACCTGGCCTTGCAAGGAGCTAGACTCAATTTCAATTTGCACAGCAGCCTGTATATACATTCATGAGAAGTATTTGTCTTTAGTTTCTTACTAGCATCTGGTTTGGGCACAAGGGTAATGCTGGCCTCCTAAAATAAATTGGGAAGTATTTCTTTCTTTTACAAGAGCTTGTTTAGAATTACTTGCTTTCATCAATGTTTGATAGAATTTTCCAAGCAAGTTATCTGGCCTGAAGTTTCCTTTGACAAAAGGTATTTTAAACTTCCTTTATTTAAAATAAATAATACTACTATGCATATTACCGATTTCTTAACAAACAACACATAACATGAAATAGATAGGCATAAAACAAATAAAATCAATGTAAGGTCTAAATGCTAAAAACTACCCCCAAAAATCCCTAAAAACTAAGGGGGGGGGGGAGGAAAGGGGATGGAGAGGAGAAACCAAACTAAATAAATGATGGCGATATAATGTGTTCACAGACTGAAAGCCTCAAATTTTGCAAAGATATCCATTTTCCCAAATTGACTTTTAGATTCAATGTAATCCAAATCAAAATCCTAGCATATTTATAGAATAAACACAGCAAATAAACAGAAAGAATAAAAATCTAGAAATGAAGCTACACTCATTTGGTCAACTAATTTTAGAAAGAACCAGTTTCAATGATAAAACAGTGTTTCCAACAAATGTAACCTGAGCATTCACATGAAAAAAATGAATGCTGACTTATACATCCTACAACATATAAAAAAATTAACTTAAAATTAAAACAAGGCCTAAATTAAAATTTACATCAACAGAAACTGAATAAGAAAACTTTATACAGTAAATCTTTAGCCACAGATCTCTTAGATATGACCCCAAAGGCATAAACCACAAAAATACTTATAAAATAATTAGATGCCATAAAATAGAAAACCTGCTCTACAAAAAGGAAAAGATTCAAAAAGGTACATAATATACTGACATACTGGAAACCCTAAGGATGGAAATGACAAGAAGGTAGCACAAGATGCCTAAGAAAGTTAATTGTGGTAATGAAAATGCTCATTCAGTATTTTGATTGCAGCTGATTAGAGAACTACATGCTTTAATCAAAATTCAAATATTCCATAGGAAAATTTTATCGTTTCTAATGATATGCCAATAAAAGCCAAGTGATTCACCACCTTTCATCCTTCCTGAGATAAATATATAGACACAAATAATGTTCATAAATTCTCTAAGAGCAAAAAATAAACCGTAATTTTCTTTTTTGAACCACCACTCACTGATACTTTCTGTAGGTCCAAAAAGTTATCAATACTTTTCCTATTCAAACAAACCTGATATGGTGTACTTCGTAGTTTGGACTGTCTTACAGCAGCTGCTGCCCCACCATATGTTGTTTTTCCAGGATAAAAAGGAGAATCTCCAAGCTGACTTGTTTTAAGGATTGAAGAATTCCCAAGAGACTGCACAGAAACACAGTGATAAATTAAAAGCAATAATTAATCAAATGGAATGTGATTAAATGCAATTATTTGTACTCACAGGGGAAAATGCTCCAAAGGCAGACAAGTTGAATGCTGGTTTTTTTGAGCTGGTGGCAGTGTGCTGTGACAGTGAATGAGAACGTTCAGCCTCTGGGGACCACAGAGGTGGCACTGATGTATTCTTTGAAACAGCTATATCTGAAACAAAACCCAAGAAATGCACAGTAATTGCACCAATTACAAGTCTCTAGACTTCAACAAATGAGGATTACAGCTAAATAAGAGAAAAAGGGTCATTCCACAAAATTTCTTTTTACTACTAAAATTATTTACGATAATGCAAACAATACCTTTATCAGAGGCTCTTGAAGAAAAGCCACTGGTAGTTGAGATGTTGTCATCATCATGCTGAGAGGTAGAATCTTTGATTTCCTTTACAAGGGAAAATCCAGAACTGCCAATTGGGAATGTCGAGGAGGTGGAGGGCTGACAGTGTAACGTAGGGGATTCCAACATGGAGAAATTCAGATGACTCCGATGAAGAGAAGGCCTTGTTAATACATCTGGATAATTTGAAGCAGTACTAGTTGTTGAGGGATCTTAAAACAAAGTATTAATATTATGAAAAGAAAATTCTATACAATATTCTATACAAGCTCACAACCGAAGATCTGTAAGAAAACACACTACACAATACATTATCAATATAAGTCACCAGAACTTTTCTATGACAAGCCCAATTTAAGATATTCTTTAGGCAAACAAGACAACAAAAGATTGAGTCTCCAGAAAAAAACCACAATGTTACAGCTGTATATCCTTCTTTTTTACATATGCACAAATATTTATCATTCCCCCAAATAATCACTGTATGTGCACTTACGCAATTTCTTTTCACTTTCAATGCACTTACAATTTCATCTCTCCATATGTAGTATTTACCTTAAAGACTATATTAAATATTTATGCATTTACTTAATATTTCACCAAATGTGTTGCTGTCAAATATTGAGTCAGCTCTCATACTGAACTCAAAAGTACAACAGAACACCAGTCTTGCATATCCTCACATTTTTAGTCCATTTCATCTCACTGAGAGCCTTCTTTTCCTTCAAACATAAATGCACTTATATTTGCATACTTGTAAGAAGATTCCTCTGGATAAATTCAAAGCTCTCTAACTTGACATATAAGAATTAGGAAATAACACTGATAAAACCAAATATTCCTGAGATGCCCACAAAAAAGGATGAGTAAATCTGAAGTTAGGCCCATAAATTACCATAAGCAGTTTTATGTATTCTCAGAACCAATGGGACTGAGATTAAATGTGGACTTGATCTGAGTATATGTCTATCTTTGCTCATGACAAATAATTCTTAAAACTATGATCCAACTAACTCACAAATAACAAATGACAGCGGGAATTTCTAAAGAGCTTTCAACACTGATTAACCTATCCTGATTTCTATCAATCAAATATTAATTTTTATCATTTTATTTGTAATTATTTAAATACGATAATGAGCATCCTTTCTTATTATAGTCACTGGCCATTTATAGGTTGGCTTCTATTAAGTGCTTATTGTACTCTTAGTAAGATTAATTTTTTTTCTTTTCCTCATAGTGACCTATTCCTGTTTCAAAAGGTACCTTTTATGATAAAGAAAATAACATAATCAAGCATCTGCTTACGTTCCAGGACTATAAAAAATTTTATGTATTTCTTTCTTGGCTATATTCTTGCCTTTATTTCAGTATGTTTATATCTTGACTTACAAAATCAGTTATAATGTAGAAGTATTCCACTTCAAATAGTTACCTAGTTTATACCTGAAAATAATTTTTCAAAGAGGGTGCCATTTCCTCACTGACATGAGAGCCCGGCCACCTGTTATCATACTGTTACTGTTGTTAGGTGCCTTCGAGTCATACTGACCCTATGAACAAAAGATCTGAACCTCTGATCTATCCTGCGCCATTCTCAAAATTCCTAACAGACAAAAGTCCACTGCAGCAGTCACTCTGTCAATCCACCTAGTCGAGAGTCGTCCTCTCCTCCACCAACCCTCCACCCTACCCAGCATCATGCCCTTCTCCAATGATTAGCCCCTCTTAGCAACATGCCCAAAGTATGTGAGGCGAAACCTCGCCATTCCTGCCTCTAAAGAGCAGGAATCTCCAAGAGGAACTGCACCCTTTCCAAGACATATTTGTTTGTTCTCTTGACCATCCGTAGGATGTTCAGTGCTTTTTCCCCAGTACTACAGCTCAAAGGCCTCAATTCTTTTCCATTATCCTTATTCACTGTCCAGTTCGCCAATGCATAGACAAGTAATCAGAAAGACCATAGCCTGAATAAGACATACCTTAGTTCCCAAACTGATATCATTACTCCTCAAGAATTTGGAGATGTCCCTAACTACAAAACTTCCCAGCACAAAACATCTCCTTAATTCTTGACTGCTGGTACCAAGGGTGTTAATTGTGGATCCAAGCAATATGAAGCTGTTGACAATTTCAATCTTCTCTCCATCCATCATGAAACTGCTTATTGGTCCAGTGATAAGAGTGTTTGCTTGACATTCAGATGCAATCCATACCAAAGTCTGTATTCCTTGATTTTCTGCAAGAAGTGCTTAAAGTCCTCCTCACTTTTAGCAAGTAAGGTTGTGCCATCTGCATAACACAGATTATGAGTCTCTTCCTATCCTGATGCCAGTCCCTTCCCAATTTTAAACCATGGAGTGTTCCCCTGCTCCGTTCACACAACAGCCTCTTGGTCCAGGCATAGATTTTGCATGAGCACAATTAAGTGCTCTGGGATTCCCATTCATCTCAATGTCAGCCACAACTTGTTATGATTCACACAGCCAAATGCCTTTACATAGTCAATAAAGCACATTCTTCTGTTATTCTTTACTTTCAGCCAGGACCCCTCTGACATCA